CCCTCACTATAATGCAACTCTCCTGACTGTACAGACTTGAACTCCGGTTTCTGCCAATTGCTTTCAGTCTTTGAGATTAAAGTGATAGTGTACAGGGTTATTTAGAATTCATATGAATTGTCTAAGAACTGGGTCAAAGTTTTACAAGATGAATGGGGTGGAGAGTCCCAATTAGCCTGATGAATCATTGCTACATATCATCATAATTTGCTATAACAACTTCTGCTCTTCTCTGACCAGCCAAGCTCTACAGGAGAGCAAAAGACTAAACCCACCCAAAACAGTGTTCGTGAACTCAGAGGTCTTGGTCTCTCACCAGATCTGGTAAGGTTTGCGACATGGCTTTAAATTTGAAAATGCAGTACTGGTGTGTTGCACCAACATCCTAGTCTAAATGTTGCTTAGGTTGAGAGTTCTTGTATATTGGTAATAAACAAGTAAAAGTAATAGAGTTGGGAGTTTTTCGCAAGTCATGTAGATTGCAGAAGGGCAGCTTTTTTGGAGGTTTGTTTTATGAATGTCTGAGTACTTCTGTTTTGCTTCGCAGCCTTGATGTTGCTCTTCTGTTAGATTGTTTGCAGGTGCTCCACTCCATTGGATACCTCAGTAAAAGAAAAGATTTCCATGTTCTGTCATGTTGAACCAGAACAGGTAAAGATTGCTGTCTGCACTTCCTTGCAATAAATATTCTAGCTGTCTGTCAGATGCTGAGTGGAGTTTTATCTGAGTGTAGTGGGTTTGTGTTCTAGCTGTGTCTTTTGTTAGCTGCATAATTCATTTCCTGCTTTCTTACCTACATTCCTTACACGTGTAACCGTTGCAAAAATAGTCCTTTTTATGCCAACACACAGGTTTTCTTATAAGGTAGTTAATGTAGGCTTAGAGAATTCTATGGAATCTGAGGTATGATCTGAATAGCTGGTTTTGACCTTAGTTATCCTTCCACATTCTTTCTGTGAATACAGAATAATGAGATTTTTTCAGAATTAGAGGACAAAAAGTAGTTGCCCAAAATTAGGTGTAAAGGATATGTGAATGTATTTTGTACACTGCTCTTTTCATGATACAGTTCTTCTGCCCAAGATTGCAGGAGGGCAGAAGAGTTGAAATGGTATTTGAGAGAAGCACTGCTTCACTTGAATGATATGCAAAGATTCCATGTTATCATGATTCTTTTTATACTGAGACTACTCTGCATAGCATAGTCTGAGGTAGACCTTGGAAAATAATCAAAACAGTCTGTAGCCTAAATAGTACCACTTTCCAAGACAGTTGAAAAATTTTGCCTTTTTGTGCAAGACTGTGTACCACTTCACAATTTCAGGCTCTGTCAAGTCATTTTTATTAATTCCCAATACAACAAGATCAAACTGAGCCCTGCAGTTTCAAGTATGAAATTCAAAATTCGCTGGCACTAGTATTGATGTATCAGCAGTACAATATCTGCCTCTTGTTGGCCAGGAATGGAAAGTATGTTGGCTCTTGTCAGTCCCTTTCCAGGAAGTTTAATGCAATTTTACATAGCTGTCTCTCTGGCTGCAGTTGCACCTGAATTGAGAAATAAATGCTATTGACTGTAAAGGAGGAAAATTTGCAGCCTAGGGGGTTTTACTGGTGCACTGTTGAACTCTGCTCTCATTTGAGTCAGGAGAAATGAGGATTTAAAAATAGTTGTGCCAGTATATTTTTGATCCTTAAAGTACAGTCTCATTCCTGATGGACAGGTGACAGTTGTCCAGAGCCATCTTTCCTTTTCTGTGGAAACCCATGTCAGTGAACTAGAACTACTGACCTAGGTACTCGTTGACTTAAGAATTCTTTGTTCATAGCTGTTTAATCCTAAATTGGATGAAGGATTCCTTATAAAATTTGTTGTTGTATTGAGATCACAGATTTCCCTGGGCTTTAATCAAACTGGGAGCCCTGGTTAAGAACAACAGTGGTGGGAAATGGGGCAGGTGGGCTCGTGGGCAGTTTAAGTGTTGTTTCAATTAGGATTACCTAGAAGGCTGTATCACAGGAGAAGTCTCTCTGAAGTGTTCTTTGAACTTTGCTATGCACTCACATAACTTGCATAGCAGCTGAATTTCTTACTGCTGGGTTATCATGTTATAGCCCTTCCCGAGGAGCTCCAGCAAGCAGTAATACCTGGGGAGTGTTGAAGCATATGAAGCTTTTCAAGCATCTGAAAACTAGAATTAAGCTATTCATATGTTATTCAACAGATGTTTTTTTCCTGGAAGTTTAGGTGGTCTTCTGGTTGGCTGAAGAGATAGAAGCTCTCTGAATATCTGTCTAAAATTAGATCTGTTTTAATGACATCCATATTTTATGAACAGGTCATCTGTGTTCATGATGTCTCTTCTATCTACCGGGTTCCTCTGTTGTTAGAGGAGCAGGGGGTTGTTGACTACTTCAGACACAGGCTCGACCTTCCCATTGAGAGGCAGCCCAGGAGGATGCTCATGAAGTGGAAGGAAATGGCTGACAGGTGAGCTGCACCACTGAGCATAGCTTAAGACTCCAGATTAGTTTCTTTTCTTGATTATTAGGTTATTAGGTGATGAGTGTTCCTCAAATATTCTTCTGTGCTAATTTTTTTTCTTCCTTTTTTTTACTACAAAAAAGCATTTTCTTCCTAGATGTTTAACAGTTTGGAAAAAAAAATTCTTCAACATGAGAATCCTGCAAGATAATATTATTGAGTCCCGTATCTTGTGTTGGTAGTGTACTGTCTATGTCAAAACCAGTTTGAAGTAATTTAAAACGTGGACAGCTCTGCCCTCCCTGTTTATACTGAAAAGCCAGTGACATTACAAAGTGTTGAAAATGTTTTGTAGGCATATGTAGGAGTCATTGGGAGCGTCAATAAAAATGTACCTTTTGGGCATGCTTTCAAGGAAGTGAAACAACTGTTTTGGAACTGTTCTGTCTGAGACTCCTAGGACACTTTTTTCTTGTGGGGAACAGACTCCCATGTTCCGGGGGATATAGTGAATTGAGTCTTTTCAGTCAGCATTCAGGCCCTTTCGGAAGCCTTAAATATGTTTGTCCTTATAAGAAATTAATTTTCAATATCTAGATGTTTCCCTTTATTTATATGCCCGACGCAGGCCACCACCATCAATAACATTTCCTTTTGATGGGGAAAACCCTCAGTAATCAGCTGTGCTGAAGTTACTTGTAATTCTGAAATAAACTTTATACAATCTCTTAGCTGTAGCCAAGAACACTGTGTAAATCCCATGCTGCCAGATGCTGGGATTGACAGTGTAGGCAGTAAACCATAGGACTTCAGAAGTCCTTTCTGTATTTCTAGCTGCTGAAGTGAACTCAGAAGCAGCATGGGAAGATGCTGTACGGTATAAACATGCAGAGTTGTGCTTTGATCCTCTCTCCTAATGCATTACTGCAGACTTTGGATCTAATACAGCTTCCTGAAAAGGCACTTTGGTTCTACTCAGAATGGCTTTTCAGCATAAAGAGAGATGAGTTAATTTATACGTGACTTTCTGCAACTCTTCTTCTCTGCCATTGCTTTTTTTTCTTTCTTCTAATCTTGCTTTGATATTTTAAAGTCATAATTATTACAGAAGGTCATCTCTTCCAATATCATTATCTCTCTAGTTGGACAGACTTTCAAGAGCCCAACTGTTTATGTTACTTGAAAAGCTGAATAGAACATAAGTGATTCTTGCCCCTATTTCCTGTTTTTTGATTTTGTTTAGGTATGACCGTCTCCTTGAAACATGCTCCATTGCACTTGTTGGCAAATACACCAAGTTTTCCGATTCCTACGCATCTGTCATTAAAGCACTGGAGCATTCTGCACTGGCTATCAACCACAAACTTGACATTAAGGTAGGGGGAATTGTGTCTGTGTGTGTGCATAAAAAAAAATCCCATCCTCTCCCCCAGTACTCCTTCCACCTACAGCGCTACCCATCTTAAGTTTCTTAATTTTTTCACAAACCCATAGACAGTAGGGGAGCGTTGATTCAGCCAGTAAGCTTTAAAATTGTCCTGTAAAATTACAGCATCAAAACATCTGTTGTCAGGCGTAAAACAGCTTCAAAGCAAACCAGCCTTTCATCCTGTAAAATGCACAAAGTATCTGTATAATTGATGGGAACTCTTCAGCGCTCAGTGTTGCGTGCTGAACTGTGGTGGAGGGATAGATATATTTGAGGAGGGCATCGTTTGCTTTAATTTCTCTGACAGTTGTTGGAAGTGATCCTTTTTTAGAGTTGTTGCTGTTATTGTTGTGGTACTAACAGTTTTTATGATGCTTCTGCCTCAGGCTTTATTAAGGTTTTAATGCTGGTTTGGCTGCACGGGTGCTTTGGAGGGTCTTAGTTGTAGCTGGATGCTCTGAAGAGGTGAAATATGTATCTGTTGTCAGAAATTTTACTTTCATTTAAATATACTTTTTAAACGTACACAGTTTTATGATGCCAGTGAGTCACGGAAATAGGTGCTTGCTTTATAACAGCACTGTTCTACATTTGGGTTACATTTCAACTTACAAAATCAGTAGAGGAGAAGAACAAGTAAGACTGGTGAGGGGTGAACACTGCGCATGCATCTGTGGGTAGTTCCTGACACAGCTGTATTTGCATGGTTCAGAAGGGGAATGGGCGCTGTGAAACCTGTGCATGGAGATCTTATGTTGGGTTAAAGAACTGTTTAGCAGTATTCCAAGCTTAAAAAAAAAAGTCAAGACAAAAATGGTTGTTCAGAAGGGTTAGCAGACTGCCAGAATATTCAGGAGTTCAGAGATAGTGGAATACTGGAGATGAGAAACTGGAAAATTTGCAGGTTTTTTCTATATGTAGCATTGGTCATAACATCCTTTACTTATAACAGCTGGTGTTTCACCATATCCTTTTTGTTCTTCATCCCCTCTTGAAGATTCAGTGATGTATATTTGAGATAGTGATTCAATTTTTTGTCACCATGTGGTTGTTTCTGTCTGCATAGCCATGTGTTCCCACCTTGCTGTGCTCCATTAAGACTTGACATTTAGTGAGCCTGGCTCTCATGGGCTTCATGTATGTCACAGCAGAGCTGCAGAGAGGGGAAGACAGAAAAAACATGGCTTCTGCTTGAGCATCGCTAGTAGGATGGTGGGAGAAAGCAGTTTTGTTGACTAGCCTGCAAGAAATCAGCCCAGAAAAACATAAGCAAGTATCCAGTAGGAAACAAATCCAGAGTTCTCCAGGGGGGATATATTAATTTAATGAGAATTAAGGAGACCCTGTGTGTTCTTACAGCAGTATCTCATAATCCTTTTTTTTTTTTTTTAATTTGGATTTCTTCCCAGTATATTGACTCTGCTGACTTGGAGCCAGATACTCTGCAGGAAGAACCTGTCCGATACCATGAAGCATGGCAGAAGCTGTGTGGTGCTGAGTAAGACCCTTATACTCTGGCCATTTCTTTGGAGCATGTCTGATAAACTTGCTGCTATTGACAGTTTTGGAATTAAGAGCCTCACTGGAGACTGTTTTCTTAGGCACTGTACCAACACACTCTGACATTGCCCCAAATACCTCTCAGTGGAATTTAGGATAAGATGCAAAATGGAGAATTGTTAAATAAGTGAGGGAGTTCGTGAAAGGCAGCAGTAGGGGAGATGATCATGCAGATGAGGATGTTTAGTGGGGAAACAGGGTGAAAGGAAATAAGGGGAAAGGGCAGGTACTGGTAAAGGCTGTTAAAGCCCAAGAGAGTGGACAGAAGGTGTAAATGTGGTATAAAGTTCTTCAGGAAGAAAGTGTGAGAAGGGAAAAGTGTTAGGATGCAGAGGAGTGCTAAGAGCCCAGAAAACAAGAACAAGTGGGGCTTGTTAGCCCTCAGGGAAGCAGGCTTTGGGTGGTACCAGGAGAATGCAGAACCTCCTGCAGAACTTTGTGTCCTTGTGCCTGCAGCAGCATGGGCCTGGCTGGGTGATAAGTTTGCAAACATGTTTGGTGCAGAGCATGTGAGTCATGAGCCATGCTAGTATTGCAACCTGCATTGTATTGGGGATTTCTTGGGAAGGTAAAATGTGCATTTCTAAAATGTTGCCCTGAAAATTCTGTGACATTTTATGTTACGGCTTATGTGAGGCCATATGGAAACTGCTGCAGACAGGCTTTGCCATATAGGGCACTTGAAAGCCCTTTTCCGGAGTGAGGTCTTCCAAGTCCAAGATTTTATGGGAGAGAGGTGGTACGTGGTTGGGGGGAACCACGCTGGTGAGCCCCATGTGAATGGAATCTTTTCATCCTCATGCAGTGGAGTTCTGGTTCCTGGTGGATTTGGTGTTCGAGGGACAGAAGGCAAAATTCAAGCTATTTCCTGGGCAAGAAAACAGAAAAAACCCTTCTTAGGTGAGAAACCTGTTTCATCCATAAGAAGGAGGAGGTTGAATAACTGGTCTGCAGCAAAAGCTTTTCTGATTTTCATTAGTATCTAGGATGTACAATTTTGAAGATTGTCGGCTGATGCAGCCATCATCTGGAGTTAGCTCTGAAGTGGTCAGAGTTGGCTGGGGTGCGATGATGATAAGGAGTCTCTATGAGGGGGTAGGAGTCTCAGAGGAAGTTTCAGAGGAGGCTGTAGTGATCTTGGCACAAAGAAATATATGACTGCATTTAAATGGAACGGACATAGTGAGAGACTGGAAATGTTGTGTGAGCAGAGTGGATGGGGAAGGGAGATGCGGAGTAAAACTTGTCGGAACTACTTGGTGCAGAGTGAACAGACCCCTAAATCCAAGTCAAAGGTTTGTCTTATCCAGATTCATTGGGCCTGCTCTGTGAATGTGTCATGTGCTTTGTGATACGGACTCTGTGGTCTTTGTCCTGATTTGATCTGTGTTCTGCCTTTCCTTCTGCAGGAGTTTGTTTGGGAATGCAGTTAGCGGTTGTGGAGTTTGCACGCAGTGTTCTTGGTTGGCAAGGTAATTGCAAAAACCCTTCCTGGGTTTTGGTCATTTCTTTGATTTCTTGAATAATACCTGTAATTTTTTTAATACCTGTAATTTTAAATTTTTCATTGGTAGGTAGATTTAATGTTTTTTCTGAACTGTAAATTCCCCATCTCCTTTGTTAATTCAAAGGAAAAAGAACCATTTCCTTATCCTGTTCAAATAAAAATCAATAGAGTAAGGCATGCTTATAATGACAGAAAACTTTCTGTTGCTTAGAGTGAGGTTCAGTTACTGAATAAAACGCCTCAGTGGAGTTGTGCTTCTGTGTGCTGGACATCCTAAATTCCCATTATAGCCAGGGGGAAGGAAGACCAAAAAGCAATTCAGCCCACCAGGCAGTTGCAGCTACTTCACTGAGTTGAATTGCTTTCTGGGCTCCACTGCTTGAGTTGACTAGGTCCCTGTTGTCAAAACCCCCTTTACAGGGTGCTACATTTAGTTTCTCAGCCTGATTCTGAGTCTCACTAGTAGTGAAGGTAGGAGAAATGTGTATCTCGGAGTACTTCTGCTCCCTCCCCCTTCCTGGCTTTATTTAAAATATTCTAAGCTGCTGAATGTGTGCTTTTCCTGAATGACCCTCGCTTTCATCACCGATTGCACTGGACTGGTTGCCCTAAGATTGCAACCTCCAGGCAGTCTCAGAAATTAAGAGCAAACAGTGCTGGCAGAGTCCTGGTTCTGCTGTTGGGGGCGAGTGGCTCAGCACAGTTAAGGTTGCTGCTTGACAGGAGCGCGGGGGTGACACGCAGCTGTCCCTGGGGGAGGTCCTGTAAATGCACATCGTGGTGTGAGGGACTTTGTGTTTCTAATTGATGGGTGTTAACATTGCAGATGCTAACTCGACGGAATTTGACCCCAAAACTGCTCATCCAGTGGTGAGTTTATGGCGACTTGCTTGTAATATCCTTACTGGGCTAGAATTCTCTGCACGTACCTGTTGGTACAGTTAAGAGCTTGAATTACTACATCCTGCAGCTTTCAAGTCTGTCTTCCATTATTTACTAATCTGAAAAGAAAATGTCTTCGCCTAGTGTCATGGTTTAACCCCAGCTGGCAGCTGAGCACCACACAGTTCTGCTTCATAGAAGATTGCAGTGCTTATTATAGATGAAATGCTGATTTTTTTTGTTGTTGTTTTGTTTTTAATTACACGTAAAACAAGGTGTTTTCTAAGAGGTAAAAGGTTCTTAAAGGGCAGTTTGAAAGCTAACTGATTTCCCAGAATAAATGTTAAAGATTTGGTGATATCCAGATTCCACTGCATAACTGTTTAACTTGGAAAGTTGGTGGACAGATTTCTGAACCTGCCTGTCTTAGACTGCAGGCTCTATGTGCCTCATCCAGGGTCCACCAGAATGATTAGCTTCTGCTGTAATGTAAAATGCTACTCAAAAGTTTTCAAAAACCAGCCTATGAAGTTATTTATCAAAGTATAAGTGATTCTGATTTGGGGGCTTTGTTTCTGTAAATTTGTCTGTTTGTTCAGTAAGTAGCACAGCATTAGCGCACAAGATCTGTGTAGGCTTTCACTGAACCATTTCCTATGCTAGAGCTTCCTGAATACCCACAAACCTTCCCTATGTTCTGTACAGCCATTACTAGAATAACTTGGCTAACTAACCTAGTTCTGTTGGTCTACCTTGTCAAGTCAGTGTTCCTTGAGTTGGTTTGCCTGTTCTCTGTGTGGCTGTTGGTTTTTTCCCCTTGGCAATGTTTCAAGAGTCTGCCTGGGACTGTTATTCCTCCCTCAGTCTCGCCTTCCTCTCTGAATGCTTTTTGCAGGTCATAGACATGCCGGAACATAATCCTGGGCAAATGGGTGGGACCATGAGACTTGGCAAGAGAAGGACACTCTTCCAAACCAAGAATTCAATCATGAGTAAGGCATTTCTTACCTCTTTTGGAAGTGTTTCCTGGGAATGTATGGTGGGTGTGGGGGAGTGAGACCTGGGAATGTTGAAGCATCCTTGAACGGTGGGTGTTTGCAGCCTGTGTTCCCGTAGTGAAATGGAGATAATGAATTTGGTTCCCTCCAGAAGTGTCAGATTCTGATGGATGCTGTTCATAGGAACTTGTTAAAACATGGCATTGTGCAAACTGTTTGGCATTTGATCTAAGAAATGTCTTTTAGGGAAGCTGTACGGAGATCATGATTTCTTGGAAGAGAGACACAGACACAGATTTGAGGTAAAAATGCTATTGTAGGTATTGAGCTTTTCTGTGTAATCCAGACAGAAGAGATCATGAGTTTTCTTGCCTCTGGTCTTCTAGGTCAATCCAGAATTGAAAAAGTGTTTTGAAGAGCAAGGTTTGAAGTTTGTAGGCCAGGATGAGGAGGGAGAGCGAATGGAGGTGGTTGAGTTGGAAGGTGCGTACTTACACAATTAGTTTGTGGAAGGTGTTGGGAGGGTAATTGAACAGGTTTTTGTGTGGGACCAGTCCAGACTCTCTGAGAACGATTCCATCAATAAAATGACACTAAAAAAAGAATCCCATGTGCCTCTCCATTTAGGGACAAAAGGTGGGATAGAAATGACACTTCTTCCCCATCATCAGGGCTTCAGTGTGATCAGCACTTTCAACTGCAGTTCAGCCACAGGCTTAAGAGACTTGACATGAATATTTTCTGTTTCTCTTAGAGCATCCTTTCTTCGTTGGTGTTCAGTATCACCCTGAATTCCTCTCTAGACCAATTAAGCCGTCTCCCCCGTACTTCGGCCTCCTCTTGGCATCTGCAGGAAGACTCACGCATTATCTACAAAAAGGCTGCAGGCTCTCACCCAGGTAGGTTGAAGGAATACATCAGTCAGACCTTTCACAGGTCAGTGCTTCTTCCTGTGGGATGAACCAGAGAATCCTCTTGGTACAGAGTTACTGCAGGTTAACCATAGGTATTTGCAGCTCTTTTAAAAACTTCCACTCTTTCTTTGAAGCCTCTTGCCTTGCATTTTAAGATTGACTGTAGTGCCACAGAGCTGTCCCCCAGTGAGGTCCTGACTTCAGGGAGATTAACTGCAGTCTCATGTTGGTAGAGGTGTTTGGGGAAACTGCAGCTGGACCTGCTCTTTTAGATAATTGGAGACCTTATGGGGTTTTCCCCACGTTCCTTGTACAAGTCCTAGGTACAGGTTGGTCCTTAAGAAACTTGTTGCTGTTGCTGGTTTAAAGAATGGGCCCTGGTTGTTAGAGCTTCTTTTTTTTCTGCTGACTTAAACTTTGTCTCAGTTTGCAAAGCAGCTAATGTTTTGGGCAGACCTAATGGTCCCTCTGCTGCTCCCTAATGCCCTGCAGTTCTGCTTGGCAGTCGTGGCATTGTGTGACATAGAAACATCACTTTGGTAGTGACCTATTTTCCTCCTTAGAGAGGAGAACACAGGATTTGCTTGTTTAGCTGGAGTGCTAACATGCACTAAACAAAAAACCCCAAACTGAATGCAAGAGAAATAGCAATGAATATATTAAAGTAAAGAAATGCAAAAAGAATTGGCCTTTCTGGTTGAGCTGCAGTGCAGCTGTACCACAGGAATTCCTGTGTTGATGTCTGGAGAACGGCTGTCAGTTGTGCTCTGACTGATCTGCTCTGGAGTATCTGTGTGAAGCGGCCTCGTTTCAGTGCTCCGCGTGTTGAGGGATATTTTAATTTCCTGCTTTTGCACATTTGAGTTCGAAATGGCTTCTCACAGCAGAGGAGCTGAAGTTTCCTCTGTACTGCAGCATCCTAAGCTGGAGTAATTTGTGATTGTGGTCACAAATTGTTTCATGGTTAGCATGTAATCTAAAAATACTGGTGGCAGTTACATCCCTTTATTCCTGTGCTCCTGTAACTCAGCACGTTTTCAGGTAAGTCTCACCATTGCACTCTAACGAGGTTTGCATGTGACACCAAACTGGGGGGAACAGACTAGTTGAAGATGGGACCCGGGCTGGAGGAGTGGGCCAACAGGAACCTGATGAGGCTTAACAAGGACAAAAACAGAGTCCTGCATCTAGGAACCCCTTGCAGTAACACGGGCTGGGAACTGAGCAGCTGGGGAGGAGCTCTGCTGATGAGGTCTCGGTGAACAGCAAAGTGAATGTGAACCAGCAGCACTGGCAGCAGAGGAAAGATGAACAGTGGGCCGGGCCTGTATGAATAAGAGCACAGCCAGCAGATGGAGAGAAGGGATTATGTCTCTTTATTCGACACTTCTTAGACTACGTCTAGAATACTCTGTGCAGTTTGGGGCTGCCCAGTATGAGTAGAACATCTCAATAGATTGGAGAGAGTTTAGTGGAGGGCTACTAAGAAGATGAGGAGGTTGGAGTACTTGCTGGGCTTGTTCACCTTGGAGGAGGGAAGACTTTATGGGGGACGTAAGAGTAGCCTGCAAGCACTTAGAAAAACGATATCAAGAGGATGAAGACTTTACAGAAGTGCATGGTGGAAGGATGAGACAAGATGGACATAAATTGAAGTAAGTGAGGTTCTGACTGGATCTAAGGAAAATCTTTTTCACCATTAGATCCGGCACGCATTGGTGCAAGTTGCCCAGAAAGGCGGCGCAGTCTCCATCCTTGGAGAATTTGAGAATGTGACTGGATAAAGCCCTGAGCAGCTGTGTCTGATCTGACAGCTGTCCCTGCGGTGTAACTGTCCTCAGGTGCCTTCCCATCTGAATTATTTTGTGATTCTGAAAAAGCTGTTTAATGGATTAAAGGCAATCAGCTGTTCCTGGAAAGCTGAAATAGAATGGCTTACGGGTGGTTAACCAGTCTGCTGTTTCCTGTTTAATGAATTTTATTTAGAATAACTTTGTCTTATAAAATCCCTGTGATATGTGTAATCATTTTAATTCACAAACCTTAAAATCACCGATGACTCAGCCCTATTTCCAAAGGGACAGCTACACTAGGAATTTTGTCTGCTTTACTTTTCAATCTCAGCTGGCAATACTTACTACCAAACCATGCTAATTCCTGATGCAAATCTAGGTCTATAAAGCCCTTGTGCTATGTAAAACAAAATCTTTCTGAATTCTACAGGGACACCTACAGCGATAGAAGTGGCAGCAGCTCACCTGACTTGGAGATAACAGAGCTGAAGTTTCCATCAGTAAATCATGACTGATTCCTGGTAACTTTTAATGACCTCAGCCTCCTTCCTTGTGGAAAAAATGCC